GCACATTTCTTTACCTAATTGAGTGAAATTTAGTATTGGACAGAAATTTGTCCACAGATATTCCCAGCCTGAGATTGAGTACAGACTTTACCTCGGACTTTACAAAGAAGAATCAGACTGGGTTGCCGCCAAATAAAGCAGTGGGGAATTTTCATACTCTAACACAATACAATTTGTACTATTTTATTACAATGCGACTTGAAAGAAACACGTTCATGGCGGCACCACCTATTCAAGAAAATCAAATTCTAAAAATAAATAATACTTTTTTACCGTGAGATTCTAGTATTTTCTTTCTACTCACTTCCGGTCACATCTACTCTACCTTCTGCGCGCCAATCAAAACCCTGTATGAAACGGGCGGTCGAATCAAGCGTCGATGTAACGTCGCGCGGACGTGTCAATTAACGCCGGTTCGACGTCAGATCGACGCGACACCGTATCGATCCTCTCGTTCCTCACCGGGCATAAGAAGAGGCACTCGTAACAGGTGCCAGCGCTAGGCCCGAGGCGCGCGGGGCCCCGCAAAGCCCCGCGAGCAGCCCCACCCCCCGGGGAGGGAAACGGTAACGCTCCATCCCCGTCGCGGGTCGGTCGGAATATCGCAAGGTCCACTTCAATTTGGAACGAACATCAGGTTTCCTGCTTTGGCACTCGAGAGCGACGCTTGTTGCTGCGGCGTTAGTGTCGCGGGGCGGGGGTGGGGGAGGCGCTGCTGCGCGTCGCTGCGACTCGAGCGCGGGGGGGCACCTAAGCTCCCCCGCGCCCTCACTGGGTCCGCTGTGGAGTGCGCTCGAAAACGGCTTCCTTAGTCAGCCCTCCAGGGACGGGGGAGCCGAGCCGGTGACAAAAGGCCATCTTCGGGCGCAGTCCGTCGTGGCGCTGACAACGCCAGCCTAGCCCACGTACGGGTACGAGGGGAAGGGCGAGGGGAAGTAGCCGGGGAAGGGCGCGGCCGTGGGCTGCACGGGCACGTTGGCGGTGAGGTACGTGGTGAGCAGAGTGGGCACGACGCGAGTCGAGAACAGGGTCGTGTAGGCCGTCTTGGCACCGAACGTCAGCTTCAGCACCTGGCGGAAACAGTCTCAGGGTTAGAACAGAACGCTCAAAAGCCGCTGCGCTGCTGGGAAACTCTGTGGATTTCGAGGTTAGGCTGTACCGAATGCAAGCGTTTGGAGCGGATTGCCTACCCGCTAGGGGCCATTTGGAGGACGCCTGCATGCTGCATGCGGTACAACAACTACGAAATCCCGCGGGAGTTTTCAGCCGCCTGGTACGTGTGTTCCCGTCCGGCACTCACCTTGGAGTCGGTCTGGGTGACCATGGTCTGGGTGACGAGCGGGCTGGAGGTGACCTGGAACTGGTTGGCCTGGGGAGGGAACGGCAGCGCGGGGAAGCCTGGGGGCGGCAGGGCCTGGGGCGGGAGCCCGGGCGGCGGCAGCGCCGTGGAGGTGGCCAGCTCGTACTCGGTGCGCGTGACGGTGGACACGGGCCGCGACAGCGTCGACAGCGACGTCACCAGGCCGTTGAACACCGGGATCACGTGCGACTCGTACAGAGTCTCGACCCTGGGGAGGCGCAAGGGGAGCAAGGCCGTGAACACGATGTAGCCTGAGCAAGGTAGTCGGGCTCGCTCAACCTGCAGCAGTACTCACTTGAGCACGGGCTTGGAGGTGGTGATGACCTGCGGGCCGAGCGCGGCCGCGGCCTGCGGGTTGAGGAAGCGGAGCAGGGCCAGCTGCTGCAGCTGCTCGGGGCTGAGCGCGGGGTTAGAGGTGGTGGGCGGCGGCGTGGTGCCGGGGGCCTCGGTGGGGCCCTGGCCCTGGACAGCATTCGCTGGAGAACCGTTCTGGAGGGAGAAAGAGGGGAGGGGTAAGAAGAAAAAAAAGAAAGGGAAAATGTCAAACTCTGCCGCGACTGCTCCGCACTGCTCCGCTCGGCTCCGACTCAGCGGCGCGGAGCTGGTCCCAATACACCACTAAAGCTGCCCGGGTCGGGCCACGCAGCCCGGATACTTTTCCGCCAGAGTAAGTTCGAGGGCGGGTGGCCTAACTACCATCAACTTGTGCCGGCGCTGCTGCTGCTGCTGCTCCACCGGTCCGCCTGATTCGGGCCGACCCCGCTCGAGTGCAGTGCTCACATCCTGGAATACTTTATCGAACTCACGTGGTGCGCCTTCTTGGGCCGCTGACGATCCACGTCGAACGGGTCGAACTCCTGGCCGACATTCGCGAGGTCGAGTTCGGGCGCGATCCTGGCCATAACGGCGGCGGGGTTCTCGTCGTCGTCGTTGTCCTCGCCGTTGCCGTCGTCGCCGAAGTCGAGCTCGAGGTGCAGCTCCGAGCCGGCCTCGTCCAGCCGGGTGTTGAGATCCGTCAGCGTTTTGCTCGGGACAAACTGGTACACCTCCATGGGCGGCAAAGTCTGCGCGGGAAAAGGGAAATGATTAACGGTGCTAAACTTGTTACAGAGTTATAAAACACCACACAGTTGCTAATTGTGTCTCACCTTGATGGCGGTGACGAGCCTGGTGACGCTGTAGGTCTGCACCAGGGTGTAGAGGGTGGTGTTCTGAGGGCCGCGCACCACAGGCAGGATGTGGGTCTTGAGGAGCACCTGGGTGGTGGAGAAGGTCTCAGTCTCGGTCTGCAGCGGAGGAGTGGCCTGATCGGGCGCCAGCTGGATAGGGGGCAGCGTGGCCAGAGTGGCGGCCTCCAGGGCGAGCCTCTTGTCGTACGCGGTGGCCGTGGTGGACGCAAGAATGTTCTCCGTCAGGGGCTCGGACGGCGACAGTGTGGGCTGGATGGCCTCCACCGTGGTGGTCGGCTCCAGGGTGCGCTCGTAGGTGGAGGTGACTGTGATGAAGCGCGTGTTCTTGTTCTGCCCGACCTGGACACACAACGGACACCGTCAGACACAAGGCCGTCATGCGGTGCACTTCAGCCACGTCCGTATAAGGTCACGTAAACCTACCTGGAAGGTGTAGGGCGAGCGAATGGTGGCGATCTCGTAGTAGGTGTCCTTGAAGTCGGCCGGGGTGGAAATGGACACCTTGATGGTCTCCTGCTGGGGCTGCGCGGGCTGCGGCTCCACGCCGTCCTCCGCGGCCGCGTCCTGCTCGGGCGCGTCGGGGTCGCTGCTCGCTGCCGGTTCAATGTCGCCCTGTCGACAGAGGAGCCACGCGTCAACGTCAACCCACGGTGGGAGTGGTGCCGTACACCCGGGTGCGCACGGCTCCGAATACTCGTGAAATTTGACATGCGCTGGCGGGGACCAGTCCGAGTCCCCGGAGTGCGCGCACGGCAAACCGACCTCGCCGACCTCGCCCCGCCGGGCCCGTGCGCCCAGATCGTGATTGGGGGCTTATAGCACGGAAACGGGGTCGTTTATAACGCGTCGACGCGTCACGTCTCCGCCTGGTGGGACTCGGCGGAGCCTGTGGGGCGCGGGGCTGCAGGCAGCCAGGACACGATAACGGCAGACATTCGTTCTCCCGACATCCGCCGTCAATGCCATCCCCTCCGATGCGAAGATATCCTCCTGCGTCTAAAAGGACTGCGGACTTGCAGGGGGCGCGGGTCTGGAGAAGGCCCTGCCGTTGCTGGAGTGAGTCCAGCAGTTACTCACCTGCTCGGGGTTGACAGCGTTGGGCGAGGACGACGAGCTGGACACGGACGTCGAGAAGCTGGTGCCGATCTCCTGCTGGGGCAGGCTCTGGGGCGCGGGCGTGACGGCGTCGCCGTCCTGGCGCCGGATGTTGATGCGGGGCTTCGGGGTGGTCTTGTACTGCCACCGGCCGTTGGGCCGGCTCAGCTTGAACTTGTACAGGCTGGTGGACGGCGAGGAGCCCTGAGGTGGAGCAGAGCACGGCGTCAGAGAGGTTCCGGAGGGAGAGAGCAGCACATTATCGACTTATCAATAACTTCGGATCAGGGGACTATTTCCTGTTGCCCGCCACACAAAACCACCACACCGTTAAGGCTTTCGATGCGGGGTAGGTACTTACGACGGCGGCGGCGGTGATCGATTCCGTCTGATCGAAGTGCGTCTCCTGTGCGAGGAAGAGAGAGATACGGGGGGCGTGTTAGAGGGCCTTTGGTTAGTGGCGGGGGGAGCAGGTCAGCATGAAAGCGCACTACTATAAAGCGGCACATTGTTATTAAAAAATATTATTTGCCACAGGCTGTTATGATGATTATGGGAATGGGCCCGACGGCCGCGGTAAAGGCGCGTTCGCGCTCCTGTAATCCCCACATCACGATCACGCACGCATGCACGCATGAGGACGGATTAGCGAACGCACGGCCAAGTTTGTTATTCCCTCCCCGGCCCGCACACCGGCACGCCGCCGCGGCACTACGATGTATTATTCAGCTTGTTCAGTTCAGTTCGTTTCGCATTCCCAATAAGCAGCACTCATGCCAGCCTGGCCGCCGGTTTTGGTTTTAACAACCGCAACTGCAAAAGCAAAAGCGCGAGTGGCGTTGGGGGCGGAGCAGGGTGCGGCGCGCGCCGGGAGCCGAGTGATTTACCCCCCCGCAAACTCGAGCCGATATTAGTTTTCTTTTTTATCGGCTAATTGGCGCCTTGTTCGCCGCCCGGCCCGGCCGAGCGGCAGCATAGGTATCGATCTGCATGCAAAACAAAATGCAAATTTGTTATTACTACTGCACGCTAGGTCAGTCAGTGCGTTAATAATTAATCTGCAAAATAAGCGCACAAAGCCCCCTCCTAGCGGCCTCCTCTAGCGATCCAAATTAAATTACACGCCTAATGCTCACCGACCTGCGAAAGCCTCAACGAGAGGCCGGAGGC